CATAAATAGTTCAACATGCAACACATATTTAAATGCTAGTGTTGATTGATGCCGCATTTATCTGCATAAAACAAAATAAAATATCTGAAAGAAGTTGTTTTGCAAGAAGTTCTTACAAATGTCTGTTTCATAAAGTTGTTAGCATGCCAACAGCTCTATGTGGAATAGCCTGAAATCCATAGTGGATAAAGAAGTCTCCTTATATATTTGATCTAACTCCATCTCTCCTCTAAACATACAGGAGATGCAGGTATTTATAAACAAGGCGAATGCTTGTCTGTCTGAAAGGCTTTGCCAATTATCTATATAGAACTGTTTCTTCTACTTGTTGATACTATGAATATAACATATATTAGTCTTGATGGCCATGTAGAGTTACAGAAATACAGGTATCTTTATTTCTTAATCATGTTGACAGGTTATATTTTAATTCTGTCCTGTAATTCCACTATTGTATATCTTATTGTTATTCACAAAAACCTGCATGAGCCTATGTACATGTTTATTGCTTCTTTGTTAATCAATTCCATTATTTTCAGTACTGTTATCTACCCAAAGCTTTTGACCGATTTCCTATCTGAGAAACAAATTGTGTCTTATCAGTTTTGTCTCATGCAAGTGTTTTCTTTTTACTCTTCAAGCTGTTCAGAATATTTGCTGTTAGCAGCCATGGCTTTTGACAGATATGTGTCCATATGTAAACCTCTGCATTATCATTCAATCATGACAAAAAGAACTGTTATTATTTTTCTTCTTCTGGCCTGGTTTGTACCTCCTTGTCATATTGTTGTGCCTGTCATTGGAAGAGCAAATGCCATGCTCTGTAGCTTTAGTTTGAAAGCCATTTTCTGTAACAATTCAGTCAATTATCTTTTCTGTGTTGCTTCGAAAGCATTGATGACATATGGCCTTGTTGTTCTATTCAACCTTGCTCTTTTCCCAATGCTTTTCATACTATTCACCTACACAGTGATAATTATTGTGGCCAGTAGAAGTTGCAGGGAAGTCAGGAGAAAAGCTGCACAGACGTGTTTGCCTCACTTGCTGGTTTTAATCAACTATTCTTGTTTGTTTTCTTATGATATGATTATTGTTAGACTGGAATCTAATATTTCAAAGACAGTACGTTTTGTGATGACAGTGCAAATGATGATGTGTAATCCTCTTTTTAATCCAATCATATATGGACTGAAAATCAAAGAAATTTATAAACACTTAAGACAATTATTTTATAAAGTTGGAGTTAAGTAGCCCTTTTACTTGATGTGCACTTATTGTAACTGTTACAAGATATGTCCCAGATATATTTAGCTAAAATATCCATGCCATAGAGGTTTGACTGTAGTTATATTAACTATTTTCTGTCATTTTCACAGTTGAACATTGTTTATGTGAATGTGTGTGTGTGTGTAAAAAAACTGTTCATGATCTTTTGTGAATGTAATACAATACATCTACAAGCATCGCTGGAAGAGAGACTGCCAAGTCATCTGGACCCACTGCACACCAACAGCACACAGGGTTGGTTTAGAGGCTTTTCTAAGGGCACAATGATCAAAACAGATGTAGTGGGACATCAAACCGGCAACCCAGTAGTTACAGGAGAAACCCTTATCTACTGAACCAACATCTCCCCAACAGGTACATTAAAACCCAAACTGTGAATGAAAAGACACAAGGAGATTCATCACGTTATCAGGAATTCCAAAGGTTTAATAAAAGATTGTAATTGTAATACTTCTTAAAAATGTGTTTTGGTTTAAGCTTTAAATGTGGTATGTTTAAAAATTACAAGCCTTTTCATTAAATGTCTTAGAAGCTTTTTATTTTGTATTTTTTTATTGTAAGATCTCAACCCTACACAGGGTTTGTAAAATTGCAATTAATAATAAGGTCTTGATAATTGGATGAGTGTTGGTCTTGTGGGTCACAGAAGTGTGTTTGTGCTCTGAGAAATTTGTAAGTGTATGGCTCCCCAGGTGCTGCACAATGGCAACCCACTGGGTTAAATGCAGAGGTATATTTCTCCAATGTGAGACCAACAAAGTTAAATTATTATTATTAACATCATTGGTTACCTTGTAACAATGATTATGTGGTGCCATTGATCAAATAAGCACAAATTAATGAATAAATTATTGGCTGAAGAAACAACTTAATGATTGAGTCACTAAAAAATTTGTTATGGATGAACAGACATCTGTGGCCAAATCAGAGGTAATTCACCCTATAGGCAAACTTGCCCTAATTCTAATCTTTTGGGGGGTCAGGCAATTAGGTCATGCTATTTGAAACAAATTTGGACACTCAGGTTGGGCCCCTATCTGACTTTTCTAAGTCACATATGTCACATAAGTCACATATGAACGACTAATGGGAGATTAGAAGTGACTTTGAGTTCATCAAATTCTCCACAATTCTGTGCCAGCCAGCTTTTAAATGTGTGTATATAAAAAAAAAAATGAAAAAACTCGATGGAGTCAAGGTATACTGTATGTGCAACAAAGCCTTTATTTACCCAAATTATATGCAATTTCAGAAACATACAGGGATATTCAGGTTCTGCTGAAAACATCTGTATCAAAATTGATCCTTTACATTTTTCGTTCAGTAGCAGATATTTTCCAATATAGCTTGGATGATTTAACTTGATGTGTCACTTTAAATTTTAAGTGGATGTGGCTGACGTACGTTTGTGAACTCCCAGCGGGCACAGTTTACACAAAAATGTGAGTTTTTTTCTTTCCAAGTCTTCCTTTAATAGTTCATAAACTCTGCCAAGTGCTCTACAAAACTGGTATTCAAGATACCAGGCAATGAGTAGGCCATTATGTGGGACTAAACCAGTTAATATTAATTTGCACTGACAAGAGTAAAGATTGCTTTCTAATCCCTGAGAGATTTCGGCTAGTGTCTTGCCTTTCCAGGCCTTTTTGCACCTTACTTTCTTCATGTGTTCAATACTTTTTCCCTGTGCCATTACACATTATTACACATAACTTCTAGTTTGAAATTTTTGTGTGTTAATTCCATGGACTTTAAACTGGTGAAAATTTTATGTCAAAAGCTCCTTTAGACATATATTTACTGAGAAAAATTTACCCGGTGCATGGTTCTCCTATCGGTTTCTAATATTGATGTGAGAATATTCTTGTACTTCATTAGTGCTCTCCAAAAGTATTTTTTTAGATAAGAATAGCAAAATTCTATAATGAAAATATTTATCTTTATAAAATCCTAATATTGACCTTGTAGTTCAGTAGTCCCTAAACTACGGCCTGCAGGCTGCACACGGGGGAAACCTTTTAAAAAAAAAAAAAAGAAAAAGTTGCTACTACAACCTCATTTTGCCCCAGTCAAAGATCATGAATGTCACCCCCCAGGAAGGTATAATAGCGAAAAGGTTAGGTCAGAGAAAAATTGATTCAGAATGCAGGTTATTTAACCCACAGTGGACACATGATTATTTTTTTGTTCAATGCAAAGAAAAGGCTGTTTGTCTCGTCTGTTAAGAAGCAGTGGAGGTATTCAAAGAATACAACCTGCGCGGACATTATGAATCCCGTCACAAAGACAAGTATGCTAGCTTGCAAGGCCAAATACGAGCAGACAAACTCTCAAAGCTAAAAAGTGGACTATTTGCTTAGCAGACTACATTTGTACGGCAAACTCAGCTGAACCAATCATCAGTTTGGGCCAGCTTCCATGTTGCTCAGCTGATAGCAAGCTGCGGTAAACATTTACTGAACAGCAGTTTGTCAAGAAATGTTTGAATGTTGTCATGGAGGAGGTGTTTCCCGAGAAGAAAGATGTCTTTAATGCCGTGAGTCTGTCTGCAAGTACAATTACCAGACGTGTTGAAGAAATCAGGGTTAATATGTATGCCCAGCCTCAGCAGAAGACTAGACTTTCATGTATTAGCAGTGGATGAGAGCACGGATGTTCAGGACAAAGTGAAGCCTCCTATTTTGTATTCGTGGAGTTACCGCAAACTTTGAGATATGCGAGGAGCTGGCATCCCTACAAAGCCTGAAAGGTACTACCACAGGAGAGGATTATTTTCGATTATTTTTAAAGTATGTCAAAACTTACATAACAGTAAGTACAATTTTTTTTACATATATAGCGTTATTTTATGAAATATTAATATTAACATTTATACTCATTAAACACACATATACGAAGCCTTCAAACCACCAAATGCAGAGAAAATTTCTCCATACACATTAAACAAAGCTGAACAGCGAGTGACTGGGCGTCAGCAGGGCAAATAAACCGAATTCTCTGCAGAGATGGAAAACACGTTTCATTGACTGGAATATCGGGTTGATCACGACTTGGAGCAAAAGTCACTAACCTGGTTCAAAGTTCTCTCTGATCCCAAAGGAGAGGGAGGAAACCAGGGGAGAGGTTATCCATGGTGTACAGCCGAGGCTGCTTCCAGAACTCTGACTGACGATGAACTGAACACCAGCTGACGCTGAGGGAGCAACATAGTCCATGAAGGGAATTTAAGCCAATGTCAGTGAAACAGTCCAGGATCGGTAACCACAAGAATACAGGAAAAACAGTACAAAAAAACTAAAGAGACAGAGCAGACAAGGACAAGGCAAAAACTTGAATATCCAAACCAGAAAACGGGTCAGAATCAGAATAACACACAAACTCAATTAAGCACTAGAGTTACTCTCACAACAGCTAGAACGATCTTGGTGGAAGTGACTGCGTTAATTAGCTGCTGGGACAGCTGACAAGGAGCAAATGAAAAAAAAACAATCATCAGGGCCAAGAACATGAAAGAAGACCAGTGGCTGAAAATCAAAGAGATCATAAAATGGAGAGAGCCCAGTGGTGCTAGAGGGAACCAAGTTATTGCCATGCTCAATCCAAGGGAGTTGGCTGGCCCACTTAGTGGGATCAACCTCACTGAGGATGGGGATTTTGGTTTAAATCTCCTGGTTGGTCCTCCCTGTCTTTCTGTTTGGGGGTGAAAACTAGATGAGACACTGACGTAGACCCCTTACAGAGAGCAAAACTCTCTGCAGAACCGGGAGACAAACTCCTGAGCCCTGTCAGAGATAATGTCAGTGGGGAGACCATGGAGCAGAAAAACCTCATGTATGAGGACCTCCCCCATTTCCTTAGCAAGGGGGAGTTTGGGCAGAAGGACAAAATGAACCATCTTTGAGAACCTGTCAGTGACAGCGAGAATGACAGTATAACTGTCAGAGCAAGGCAATCTCGTTACAAAGTCCATAACGATGTGGGACCAAGGTCAGAACGGGATAGGTAAAGGCCGGAGGAAACCAGAAGGAGGTATTCTGGTCGATTTGGATTGGTTACACAGAGAGCAGGCTGCCCCAAACTCTTGCACGTCTGCATAGAGAGAAGGCCACCAAAACTGAGAATGAACAATGTCAATAGTCTTAGTAGAACTAGGATGAGAGAAGAGATGAGAACGATGACAGAATTTAAGGACCTTCCCTGTCAGAGCATTTGGAACAAAGAGACAAACAATTACTGGGAGAAGGTTGGTTGAGAAGGGCCTGTCTAACCTCCTTCTCAATGTTAATCCTGGTGACAGCACACCTAACAGATTCAGGCAAGCGTATTCCTCAGCACCACCGGTACACCCTGGACTCTCCTCATCCTCCTCAAACACCCTGAAAAAAGCATTGGGTTTAGTATTCTTGGATCCAGGTCTGTAAGACAGAGAAAAGTTGAACCTCCGGAAAAGCAGTGCACACCTAGCCTGTCTGGAATTAAGTCTCTTGACCTTTATGGTCTGTCCAGACCAGAAATGGAATACTGGAAATCCCAGCTAGTGTCTCTACTTCTCAAAAGCCAGTTTGACTGCCATTAGCTTTATATCCCCAACATCATAGTTCTATTCAGCTGCTGACAGTTTCTTGGAGAAGAACGCACAAGGGTAAATCCTACCCTCCTCAACCTCCTGACTTAGCACCACCCCATCCCGGTACTGGAAGCGTCAACCTCGACATTCAACTGTATCTTTGGGTTGGAGGGCCACCAGAACTGGAGCAGAGGCCTTAAGTCTCTGAAATGCTTAATCCGCCAGATCGGACCAGCAAATCTGACCTTGAATTAGGTGATGGCATGATGGGGTGCTGCCACCTGACTGTAGTTTCCAATGAACCAGAGGTAAAAGTTGGCAAATCCCAAGAACTCTGGAGCTGCTTCCTATCCTTCCTATCCTAGGAACTGGCCAGTTGGTGAAGGAATGCTCCTTTAACCCAGACAACAAAACCCAGAAAAGAGATTGTGTTAATGTGAAACTCACACTTCTCTGCCTTGAC